GTGTGTGTGTGTGTGTGTGTGTGTGTGTGTGTGTGTGTGTGTGTGTGTGTGTGTGTGTGTGTGGTACCAGTTGCACTGAAATGATTCAGAAAATAAGGGCATACTTAAAGCTTGTTGTTCACGCACCCAACTGGATACCATATCGTCATCATCGTAAGCTGTCCTGTGAGGCGATACTGGTGGTACCGGGACTGGCTGTGTTGTGCTGTACTCTCGTAGACGACTGTACTGGTTACGCCGCGGTGAGCCACTTCTTCGGTAACCTGGTTGAATCGGGTGTTCTAGCTCTGCAAACAAAAATGCTGGTATGATTCCTTTTTTGCATTTATGTAATGCGATGACACGTAGTATGAGGCTGTATCAATGCGTATATCTATGCCTAAATAACTTTGTCGCTTGAAAAACGATAGATCTTGCAAACAGTTCAGTCAGGAGTGGATACTAGCTGGAGATATGTAAAACAGGATCAAAAGGTCTGGCATAGCTCCGCCACGCATGGTCGGAGCATCCAGTAACATCACTAACATAGCATCTCTGCACTGCGTGTCTAAGTGATTTTAGCCTAAAAACTGTAAAATGCGAAGAACACTTATGGTTTCGTTCTTTGCAATCAAATCTATAGAACAACGGGCGACAGAAGACCTCAAAGTCCAATTTTTTGTCTTCCACTTTTCTAGTTTTCAACTATCCGGAGAGAAATTAAATCATGCAAGCCGGAACCTATTGATGTTCTTTGTTCATATTAGCAAAAAGATGAAAAAAAAAAAAAAAAAAAAAACATTGAAAATATGTCCCAGTTGAAACCCAATCGCCAACTGTCCGAAAAAGACAACAAAATTACGGGATAAATTTCGTGCCATTGATTTAGCCGAAGAAACAAGCAAAAATCGTACTGCAAGAGTCATTTTTTTCATCATTGCTAAGGACATGGACCTGATCAGCGCAGTAAAGAATATATGAATTTTTGGATGAATTAATGAATGCCTGATGAAAAGAATTTGAATTAGTAGAATATTCGACTGATTAATCGATCAAACAAATGACTGATTGATTAGATGGATCAGTGGTTGATCAAATTAGTGAATGGATGAACGGATAAATGAAAAAACAACAGGAATGAATGAATGAACGAATGATTGAATAATCGAATCGACGATCAAATGGATGACAAATCGAATGGATGAGTAGATGAACGGATGAACAGAATGTTTAAATGAATGAATGGCCGGATGACTGCCCGGTCGAATGCGTGTTCGAATGCATAAATGAGTGAACAATGAACAGCTGAATGAATTAATGATCAAATGAATGAAAGATCAAATGAATGAACGATCGAATGACTGAATGAATAACAGAACGAACCAGGTATGCGATTGGTGGTATAATAATTATCCTGTTTGTATCCATCGTACATATTAGGACCAAGTCGCGCTGTTCCCTGCTTCTCATCGTAATATGCTATTTCGGCATTTATGCGACGATAAAATAGCAGCACAACAAGCACGCAATAAAGCTGAAAGAATATTAATTACGATCGATCTTCAACGATTTCGATTTTGGATCAGTTAGAAATAACGTGAGAGGGTTGGAGGCTAAGTTCTCAAACAGATAAACGGATGGAGGAAAGACAGGACTGCGAGGAAAGAGGAGGGTAGGGAACGGGGGGGTGGGGGTGCAAAATTTAAATGAGTTACTACATGTAAACGTGAACTAAATTACATTAATGAAGATAGTGATCATTTCGAGAATGGTAAGTATCAACCAGTAATCGCGAACATCACCGGTCCACCACATAATACAGTAGGTTAGGCTGCACAATATACTGGCAATCATACACGGAAGCCAAGGCCATATCAAGCATCGCGAGTACTGCAATAACATGTCCTCTTTTAAATATAAGTTAATAGTTAAAGCCGGTGGGCGTGGGCTGTGGAAAATAGCACTATTGTCGTGCAGTAAACAGTAGGTTCGATTCTACCGATGGAGCAACATCGGTCCTTCTATAATTCGTTCCTTTGTTTCAATGGTAAATTGGTACTGGCACATGCCGTGGGGACAGACCCGCAATTGGCTTGCTTGCAAGCAACCTTTGAAAGAAAAGCTATCGACGGCTTCCCAAGTAAGCACGGTGCGGGAGAGATTTGTCTGTACGGACCTATCGCTGATTTATTGCTCCCTCATTCCAGAACTCTCTATGGGAGAAAATAGGATGGCCGACCCTTACATAGCCACTTTGTTGGCAATTACTATCGCTTGGGCTATTTTTCGAGCATCTCTGCCTCACAAAGATAGACTGACTTTTGCTTTAATGACCAAAAGTCAATCGATTTTGCCAAAAAAATTTCAGCGAGTTTTCGTCGTAATCCTAAACAAGTTCAAATATCCGGTATTTCTTTTTCTTAAAATTTTCGCTTGAACATCACAAAACGAAGCTAAAGATATGGGGAAATACAAAACAAACTTACAATATGAGCACCATAAATGAGAGCACACGAAGCGAAGAGCAAGAAAAATGATACGATAAGGCACAGAATTTGAATAACAAATAATCCTGAAATTTTCAGTATTTTGATAAACAACCGAACATTATAGCATCTGAAAAATCAATGCTATGTAAACTCTTTTTTGAAAAAAAAATATCAGAAAAAAAGCGCTAAGAAAACTCTCTTTTAAGAAATTAAACTCATACAAAAGGCTTTTTAAAAAATTAAACATTATTGCTACGAAAGCTTCTTACACGAATCCGATTTTTTTAAAAAATATACTCTTTAAATGGTAACATGCGCAGCGTAGTGGGAAGCATCATTACTGTTGCACAGAAGGTCAAGGGAGAGAACATCTTTAAGACTACTAGTTCCCCTACGATTCGTTCATTCATATTCGATTGTGAATTGATACTGGAATATGCCAAACAGTCAAAACCGCCATCAGATTGCTTTTAAGCAACATTCAGAAAAGGGAGCCACTGACAATATTCCAACAGGTTGGTGTTGGAATTTGCTACTCGCGGAATATATATTCCTAGTGCTTCCACCTCTATCTTTGGCAGTGGAATTTTTATTTCGATTTTCCACATATAATTTTGCTCTTTTTTTTAACAATATATTTTAAAAGAATTTTTTTTTTGAAATATGTGCTTAAACAGGCCAGATTGTCTTATCAGAGGTAGAGCGCTTTTAGTGTGCTATAAGCAAAAGAGTAAACATATAGCTAGAAAAGTATCATAATTACAGAGGCTTCTTGAGCTGAAAACCACGCCGTACAGTTGATGGAGGAAGGAGAAAACGATCTTGGACAGGACCCTAGGAAACGATGCAGTGGATGGGTTTTCGGGATGTGGAAGCACGAACCGATATAGAAACGCTCCTCGGGAGTCTGCCAGTAGCTCTCGTAGTATGTCGGGATGTCAAGTCTGCCATATTCGTAATAGTTCGGTAGCAGTGCATCCGCTGCACGGTCTTTCTCATATTTTATTGCAGCCATTTGCCAGCCGAATATCGCCAACTGCATCAGACAATAAATCTGAACATCAAAATGACCAGTCAAGCAATCCAACTGACTCATACTTCTCTTCCCTCTAAAACTGTTGGGTCCAACAGAGAACAGATGGATCGGTCCATGACTTTTTTGTAAAAAAAAGGTCAACAGTAAAACTATGCGTCCTGGGCATATCATGCTGTAATGATGGCAGTTAGCACTTTTCGGCTGGCAAATGACTCTTTTTACACTTTTTATGTATTTTTTGGGCGGCTTTCTTTACTTTTATTTACGTATGGCGCTTTTTTTTATTCAAATTTGAAAAGTCAAAATCTAAAATCCCTCCGAATTCACCCTTTACAAGAGGCAGAGGCATTCAGGAAGTAGCCTAAGTTGTAGCAAATACCAACTGCTACTATCCGCTCGCAAGGCCGCTGATGGCCCTCAGTTCTAAGAGTTGCTTATAAGTAAGCTGATGATCGGTTTACCACTGAAACGAACGAATAGTAGAGAGATTTGCTGTCCCACTGGCGGAATTTAACTTTCGGCCTAGTGCACGGCAAGAGTTTTAATTTAATTAGCCTAAACAGGGAAATAGATACCGGTGAAAAAAAGCGTTTGGGGTGTCAGATAATAATTTTCGATGTACGTGGGGGCACGGTAATCGGAATATGTGTTGTGTGCAGGAATCAGCTGATTGGCGGCTAGATCGCGATAAGATTTGATTTCATACGATTGCCAGCCGAATATTGCAAACTGTGTTATGCAGTACACCTGCAATGGCAAACATTGCCCTCGCCGCTATTTTCGGTGCAAATTAATGGTTTATTTGAGTAGCTATCTTATTGTATCGGCAATTTTAAAGCCTACAAACCCCTGGCACTATTAATGAATCACTTAACGATTAGCTATCTTATTCTATCAGCAACATTTAAGCCTAATGTTTGTAAGCAGTGAATGTTTTGCCTGACTAGGTAGCTACCTTACTGTGTCAGCAATTTCCAGGCCCATAACTCCTGCGGCTATTTGCCAAGCAATGATTGGTTTATTTGGGTAGCTATCTTATTGTACCAGCAATTTCTGGCCCCATTTACTTCTCAGTTGGACTAAATATGGGCAGTGTGAACCCAGTGACCAAAAGTCAAACCTCTCCAGTATTTTGCTCTCAGTAAGAAGCGAAGGTGATCCTAAATCAGTTAGAGTGATAGCAAATGGCAACAGCAATCATTCGCTCGCAGGGCTGTCAATGGCTCCCTCTTCTGAGGATTGTTCGCAAGCAAGCTGATGGTGACTAGAAAATGGCAAATACGAAAAAAAGTTATGGTTCTAATAGAGAATTGCTTCTTCTTCCCCTCAATAAAGCTGTAAAATCCAGTTCTCTATTTAGCCTTCTGTTTTTCTCTCCTTCCATTCCCCAACTCCTTGTTGATGCTGATTAAAACGATGAAATCGTTTTCAAAAATTTGAACAGAAATGTCCCGCAGTTAGCATCTATTCAGCTGGCAATTACTGCAAACTAAAACGGGGAGAGGAGGGCAGCTTGAACTAAAAGACAGAATATAAGCAGCAGTAACAGTAGCGGATAAAGACTGTATTCCATGGTATCTGTGCCACCACATCTTGGCTTTCAAATATTTTAATAGGGAAATTCTTCCTAAAAAAGCAAGTAGTTTTTGCTATACTGATAGTATTTATATATGCATGTATGTGTGTGTTTCCATCATGGGTGTATGCATGTGTTTGTTTGTTTGTTTGCATCTGTGTATCTGTATGCGGGTTCATGCGCGTGTATGTGTATTTTATGCGCATGTGTGTGTGTGTTTACGTGTGCGTGTATTTACACGTATACGTGTGTGTTTGTCTCTTCGTGTCATACGGTTTAAATGGAAAGTACTGGCGTAAGCGTAAGACGGAGGGTGATAACGCCTTGAAAATAACGGAGAGTTCATGCAAAAAAGGGAAATTTCTGCTGAGTGCAATGGCACTTGGATAAAAGGGATGAAAATGTGAGCTGTTTCTAGTAAAAATTATTCAAAAAATACACTAATTAGCAGTACTGTGTAATGCTGTGCAGGTGAGTAGCCGTGCAAGTCACTTCTTCAGGAGCAAGAGCTTCCTTCTTTAGCTTGTTCTGGACAACTGCCGCAAAAAAATATTTTGGAAAAAACCAGAAAATCGACCACAATGAAGTGCTGCCACACAACATCTACTCCATTGATTTAGGCCTCAAGCAAAGGTACTATCCTCGATTCAAAAATACTAAAAATAGCAACCGGCCTGTTCTTCGTTTACACGCCTTGAGTTATGCACAATGACTTTGTAAGGGTTCAAAATATCTTCAGGTTCTTCTTTTTCCCTTCCAAAAAGCAGCAATTTTCCTTTTTCTCGCTTAAGTACTGACAACCAGATAATTGCTATTAACCGTTATCATTTCAATCACAAATGAGAGAATATTTTTTTCACATGCGCACCCTATATTATGCGGATAGGAAGCTGTAATGATGATTCCCGTTTTCATCCGCGCTGTGTTTTTGTCTGTATTTACAGCTAAGGGATGAAAGACAGACTGCTCTACGATTTGTTCATCGGCACATGCAGCACTCAGGTTTTATATCTCGATGCGGATATTGCTCTGCGAGGAAAAGAAAGACGAGAAATCCAGTAGTTAAGGAGGAATTTCAAAAAAAAAAAAAACTACCAAATTAAGACATCAAAAAATGGCAGAATTAAAAAAATGAGGATTGGTACCCTGGATTAGGGAACTGGTACGTGCGGTGGATGCGCCAACACATGGGCACCAATATTCGCACTGTAAATTCGCTTGGGACATTGTGACTGTTTGACACGAATTGATCACATTCAATTGCCAGCCGAATAGTACTAACGATACCAGTGAATAAACCTTCAATAAATATTGATTTCTCGGATGTTCCTAGTTTTAGAAGGGGAATCATGGTACCCTCCCAAAGTTGGGATATTTCAAATAAGAGGTTCTGCAAAGACTAAAGTAATCCTTTCTGATATTATAAAATTGAGATCTACTGATTACAAATTTCCGCTTTACAAACGTCAAATTTTATCTCAAAAGAACAACGATCAAGAGCAAAGAATTTTTCAAAAAGAATTTTATAATTCGGAAAAAAAGTAGATTTTTGCAAGTTTTTTTAATTTCGAAAAGCCAAAGATGATCAAAAAATGAGTAATCTTTCAAAAAGTGCCAAAATCGGAATCAAAAAAGTAGATCTTTAATTTTTCAACCTCAAAAAGAAAAAAGGAAAACGATTCGTTTTTTCGAAAAAAAATGTAGTCAGTAAAGTAAATTCTCAACAGTTTTTCAAAACGCATATTGTAGGAGCAAACTAACCACAGACCACAATCCGACAGTGACAGCACCATCCTTGATGCGCCAGCAGCAGCACGGATTGATAGCCATCGGTGATGATAAGTGATAAGATCAAGTAGCACTTAATCAAGCAGATGATTCACATTATGATATCGCGCAACAAACCTACAATCCGATTCTTATTATGGCGCAACTAAACGCCCACTCTGTTATACAAAGTCCTTCTGTTGCACAAAAAAACTGAAATAATTAACTGTAATTGAGAAACTGTTAACCTAAATTAATTTCATGATTATATGTCTGCAAAAATAACAAATAAATAACCATGGGTTATGTTGAATTGTTATGTTGATTAAAGAATTAAATTAATTAATGTTCATCGTACCCTGCTAACGAATGGGGAGTCATGCGTTAGTGGACTGTACCCACGAGAAAACAAATAACCACTCGCGCGACCTCCGAACAGGCGGCGCACGTACACCGAACAGGCAGTGGCTATTGACTGGAGGTGTATCGCCCAGGATAATGTTGAAGGCAAGATTACAATCCTTAAGTTTTACTATGCCTTACTTATCCTTTAAACTTTTTCCAAAACTTTTCTTACAATATTCTTATACTTTATATACTTGTTAGTTACCATAACGGTCTAACTGACGGGGTTCAATTGTGTTACTGATATGGAATATATGCAACTTACTGATCGAAACATTCCAATTCAGGGATCCTTTTTCCATTTCTTATTACATTTATTACCAGCTGTCATAAATTATTATAATCTAATAATGCATTTCCCTGAATTTATTGTACTATGAAGAAGCAGACGAACAATCTTTCGCTTCTTTTTGGATAACAGTCCCAGAAACGTTCGCCGTTTATTAACAGCAAAATCGCAGCGATTTTTCTCCGGCATCACTGTCCGCCTCAGGGGTCACGATTCAAAGCATGGGGTCCAATCTTTGCTCATGCAAGGTTATAGGAAGAGCGGATGGACAGAATAATCTGTGAAATTCAGCTCAGCGAGGGCATGCAATAAAACAGGTCCTTGGCAGCTAGCAATGCTTAAACAAATAGCGTCTTCCGAACCGTGCGGGCAGCAGTGCGTCCCCACGAATCTGTTTCACATCCCGCTTTGCTCCCTGTTGAAGGCAATCGAGGAACTAGTCACAAAATTACCCCAGAAACTATAAAACTGTATGTGTCTGTGTGTACGTATGTATATTTAGACGAGTCTGTACGCGCGTGTCATGCATTCACACGTTCGTCCGCATATATCATGAATCTGCACGTGTCTGTTGGTGTACATAGATCGTTTGTATGCGATAAGGATTGTGTACTATCAGCCATCCAGGCTTCTCCAACTGCCTCACTCCTAAACCGATGACTCATTCAGCTCCGTACATAATGCGCTACTTTTAGAACCGCCTAGTGCCTCATTTTGAGAAGTATTTTCCACTGTCAACTTACACAAAACAGTTAACAAGTGTATACTTTAAATTAAAAAATCAGAAATAGCAAAGAAAAGAATTAGGAAGGAACAGTATGAATCCACGGGGTATTAGTGTGATAAGTTCAGTGGAACTAGTATCCCATCCTTAAGCTGTATACAGAAACAGGGCATTAAAATGCCCATCAGCCGTGATCCGGACAACATGCCTTGCTCGTCAAACTTCATATCCTTGCATGGTTGCAATGATATCCTGCATGCCGCTAGTCTGGACGAGAGTCTGATGTTTATACTGTCACTAAAGAGCACATCAAACATCCATCGCTCGAACAGAGTAACCGTTCATATCACTGATTTTTTCGGTATATTTCGAAGCAGTGAGTCGCCGAGATTTTTGGAAAATTCACTAGTGTTGGTGGCATCAATTTATAGCTATGGTGGATTCCATTATCGAGAAGGCGAGATACAGAATTTAACAAAAGCTAGCTCTATTTTGCTGAAATATCTAGTAAGATTCTTTGAAATTTAAACTTTTGAAATTTTTGCAAGTTATTGCTTAAATTTTTTTCTGAGAGGGAGTGGGGAAGAGAGGGGGGAGGATGCGACAAAAGTAATAAATGGCAACGCGCACCAGACTAGCCGGTGCGATCATGCGTTTTGTGCAATTCAG